GAAAGCTTGCCAATGGCTCTTTAATTAAAGTTTAGCCTAAACCCCAAGCTTTTAAGATGATGGTCTAAAACACCATTATTTCTAGAAGAAAGCCAGGTAATTGCACCAAGTCCTGACTTACTTCCATGGCTGAAATGAACTGCAAGGGGAAGGACATAGGGGATGCCACTGACACTCAGGTTGCATGTTCTCAAAATTTTGTGGGACACCTAAACCTTGCTGATGCTGCAGCATTGCATTGCAGTCTTGCCATCTCTACATTCTTTATATTTCAAGGGAAACAAGTCCAGCACCCACTAACAGGTGAAAAATTGCTGTGTAAGTGACATACCCTGGACTAAGCACTGGCCCCAACCCATAGTAGCAACATGAGTTCTTCAGCACTCCCAAGCTTCTTGGTGCAAGGCGGCCACAGACACTTCAGCTGGATGCTCTGCTCCAGGAGCGCAGCTGTAACTGCGTGCGCCTGTTTTCAAAGGGAGCTGAATGGCAAGTGGCTTGGTGTCTTCTGTTGCTTGCTTTGCATGCCTCTGAGGAAACCAGGTGGGAATATGCCTCCTGGCAAAGGAGCACATCTGGCCACAGAGCCAGGCCCAGGTACTCAAGAAGTGTTAATTCCCTCAGGAGGGCACCCTCCAGCCTCCACACCCCCGCTTTTGCTGCAAACCAGAGAGATCCAGTGCGTGCCCCCTGCCCACAATCACAGCTCTCCAAGGAAGGCGTGGGAAGAAGAGGCACGGTGGAGACCCTGACAAGAGCGCTGCACTCACAAACTGCAAGAGCCACAGTAGATCACACACAGGTATATCAAATGTTCTTCTGAACCAGCCTTTTCTGTTCAGAGAGCTTCAGTAAGCTTAGAAAGAAAGCACTCTTAGAGGATGTAGGCAGTACACCTGTGCTGGCAGGTTCTCTCTGAGGCAGCCTAAGCCTTAATGAGCTGCAGCCAGGTGGAGACTGGGGACACTGATGAGGACTCATACTGGCCAGAACACCTCCAGGGAGGTTGACTTTGCATCTGTTTTCTCAAGCAAACATGCAAACAATTCTCTGCTTTAAGAAACTTCAGTGGCTAGTCAGCCCGAGCGTTAATGCTTTGCAACTTCATTTTATTGTGTTGTTAGCAGTGTCCTTTCCACAGCCCAGCTCTGCCCACCTAAGCAGAGGAGGAGGGTTTTCAGCATCAGCAGACACTGCTGTGGCCCTTTCCTGGGCAAGCTTTAGTAGCTCTTTTTCCCTCATTATAAGCCAAAAGACTACACATTAGCGTATCGATTGATGCCAAGGATGAGAGGCCTCCACAACTGAAACAACTCCTTACAGTTCAAGCTATGGTATAAAAACAAGTTCACGACACTGAGGAGCCCAGGATGTCTTGACCAACAGATAATCACATCCACTGTAACACCGAGGAAAAAGGTGCAATCCTTATTACCCTTCTCACACAGTTTTTCTGACTCACATGAGCAAGAGCCAGTGCACCTCATGAATTTTCAGCACATCCACAACATCTACCTCATATACCTGCCAACACTGTTGAGTGACAGCTAATAATCATTTTACTTAGAAATTCAAAGGCACATCAGACGTGTCCCCACACAAAGCACTCCCCTGACACAATACTGCTACACAAATCCATCTCATCCCCACAAAACACACATTCATTAACTACATCTCCCACCGTTGATCCAACAGCCTTCCTTGTTCCCACAAACACCACAAATTTTCTTTCCCTCTCCTTCCCATCTTTGCCTGTGCTTACCTGCACCTGTGCTCCAGCTCCTGAGTCATGACAGTCCCATTTTTCCATCCAGGAGCAGGAAAGGAGGCACCATCCCACCACCTTATCTACTCCTAGTGCTATAAGGGAACATCTCACATGACCTCCAGGCTGGTGGGAAGAAGAAGGGGTGTTTACCAGCCTTTCCCTGGCTCCAGGCTTGTGTAGGGTAGGGACCATGACCAGCAGCAGCTGCTCCACATGTTGCCCCTGACTGCAAAAATTTGGGCGTCTGCTGTTTCTCCACCTGTAACAGGGCAGCTCGTCACATGTGATTTCCTTGCGGCATTGATGCTTTCTGTTGTGAAGTTTCAGACATCTGGTAGTCAGTGGGAAGCCCAGTAACAAGTTGCCTGTGTCCTTAAATTACTTATGCTTCCCCTGTGGATATATGGTGTCTTGTCTCCCTCTGGTTTACACCCTGGCTCTGACCAGGCTCCCATCTCTGATGTTTCTGGGAAGGTGACGTCATAAGTTGCTCACAGCCAGGTCCTCCACATGAAATGTGCCAAGCTCCACGTCTGACTGAAGCTCTTGCAGGAGTGCCCAGGATAGGCTTTCCTGCAAAAAACAGGAAAGAAAATCTTCTCCTGTGCAGCTTAAGATATCCCATAACACAGTCACTGCTGCACTCATAAAATGGAGGAGACTGCTCAGGACAGGCCGTGGGCCTGACCTCATGTCTTCTTCCACCCCGGATGAGTGCCCCAACCAGTAGTAAACCAAGAGAGCCATTTCCAGGGTGTGAGTTTTACCTGTAAGAGAAAAACCCAGCGATCCCTCTCACACTATTTTGGTGTACTCTGTGAGGCCAGGCACCAGCAGGCGATGCTCGTGGGAAGGCCATGGCTGCCAGGGTGCCAGCATGCACCAGAGAGGGGACTTTATCCTGCATGGCAATGGACCAGAAAGGAGAGAAAGGGCAAAATCCCTTCCTTTGTCTCTCCCTTTGTAGTGTTGTCCTACAGATAACGCATCCCCTTCGTCTTCAATGGGTTAAAACTGTTGAAAACAAAAAGCCTTCCATATTTACTGGTGTAATCTAAAAATACCCCAACTCTGCTGACAGCACAAGCAAACACAGGCTCCCGGAGGCTTTCTTGCCTTGCCGAAAATGGCGCGTGGTGCCCCAGCTGGCTGACACCGCCCCAAGTGAGACAAGATGAGTTGAAAGAGCAAGCTTGGCTTCCCATCCCCTTGCAGCCTCGCTGCACATGGCACCTTCACCCTCTGCCCCCCAGCTTCTCCAGAAGAGTCAGCCTCATCTCCCACCCATCCCTCTGCCTGGCCCCTGGTACTTGCTGGTTCCGGGTGCCAGCGGGCTGCATGGCTTGGCTGGGTGTCTGCAATGGGCCCCCATGCCTCATCAGGCTGAACTAACAGGCTCTGTATATGGCACAGGATATCTTTTCTCCACCACCTCCCCTCTGTCCCCAAAGAGGCTGCATTTATTCACAATTTAGAATAATACCGGATTTTACTGCAGTTTGGCTATTTTTCATTGGGAAGATGTAAGAAATGCTTCATATCCTTTATTTATCTCGTGTTATGCTGGCATAACTGTGGGGGCTTTTAGTTTACATCTGCTTGCAAAGTTAGGAGTTTGTGTTTGCTGGTTCCACTCACAGCCCGAGACCTTTTTGGACAGCTGATTTATTTGGCCAACATCCCAGCTGCAGTTTGCGTACCAAGTTTATGATTTCTAGGCTATAGGAATTCAAGCGCTTGAACGCTTGGTCAGGAAGGGAGATGGTTCAGTGCCCCAGCTCTGATGCAGCCAGGCGGTATCAGCAGATAAAGCTTGCTTGCTTGCCTTCCTCCTCCTCCTCTCCACCTCTCTGCTTCCAGATGCAAATGCTTCCATATTCGGCAATGTGTAAGTACAATGGCTTCTTAAGGGGAAATCATCTACCTTGGCAAATGCATTTAAGGCTCTTCTGCTTTGCATTTTAAAGCATATGAGGAAAAATACTTCCATCTTACGTCTGCTGGCATGTCTCAAGTCTTATATTTAAAAATGCCAACAACCTCCCAAAGATCAGCTAATCATCATTAATAAAGAAAATGCACCGGCACTGGCAAATGAATTGGCTCCTGTGAGTAGCCAAGTGGCCTGAAGAGGGAATCAGAAGCCAAGGTGCATGAGATTTTAATCCTAGTTTCTGCACCAATTCCCTGTCCAGAGAGGGACACTCACCTGCTTTGTCTGCTTTATTCCCTTTGGAATGGGACTAGACATTAGCTTAGTCACTGTGGTGTTTAGGGGATTAATTAGCTAATTCAGCACCTCACTCTAATGATGTAAAAATCTTAAAAGCTTCACTGGAAGGATTTGAAGCTGTAGCTTAAGAATTATTGCTCATTTATGACCTTTTTTGTAACACATCTTGGAAGAGTTAAAGGTAAGGCGAGAGGGGAAGAGTTTCATTTAAAAGAGAGACATGCATTTCCATTTGGCAAGATTTCGCATCCTGATGGGAAAACGTAAACACCCAGTCTCTGATCTTGCCTCAATCCATATTTAATCTCAGAGAGTGCTGTGGTGTAACTTTGCAGAGAACAGTTTCAGGAAGCACGGGGGAATATTCCAGGCTTCCTTCTGCTTTGGGGAAGCTACGGAAGGCAAAAAAAGGTAGGTGAAACAGGGCAGAGATCTCACGTAATCCCACGTGGAGGACAAAAGACATGGAAGACAAAGCCACAGAGCGAAAACCAGCCTTTCTTCTAACAAGCAATGGGAAGATCTATACAACATCCTATGGGATTAGAATGATTTCCCCTTTTCCTCTGCGCAGACCTTTTTGTTTCGGTGGGTAAGGGCGTGAAACCTTGCCTGTGAAAGCCGAGCAGTCCAAGGACGAAGCCCAGGGAGCATTTCTCACACGGGAGAAGACGCTGCCCCTCTCCCTGCCTGCGATGCTCTGCCATAGGGCTGCCTCCCACCCCTGAGCACCACTCACTCCCCCGCTCCCCTCCGCCGCGGTGCCACTCCGCGGCTGCTCCGCACCCAGCAAAGGGAGCGGGTGGGAGTATGAAATCGGCTCGAGCCAGCGGCAGGAAAACGAGCGGGGTTTTAGGAGCTGGCGGAGTGTTAGAAAGATGCTGGAGTTGAAGCCTGCATAGGATGGTGAGATTAAAAATAGGCTGTAGCCAGCCTTCCCCAGCATGTCAGCATCTTAACTGCCTGTTCTCCTTGTGACCCACTGAAGAAGAGGCAGCGATGGAGGAGATTCTCTCTTCCACCACCCTGGCAATGCAGGACAAAATGGTATTTTGCTCCTAGCCAGATCCTTCTGCTCTCTCTGTCTGGGGAGGTCTTCGGGAGGGGTGTAAACCAAGCGTTTCTTCCCTGCCTTCAGCCAAACCAAGGGACTCCCTCCTTCCCCCAAGTTCAACAAGGCACTTCTGTGCGTCAGAGATGAGCTCATTCATTCACATCTTACGGGTTGCTTGCAGGCTTCCATCCTTTGAAAGGGAAAAGGACATTTTTTGTGCAAATCACTGACATCATACTGCAGGATTTTTAATTCCAGACATCAGGGAAAGCATTTCACAGAACTACACTATCCAGTACAATCCACATCACAAGTTTGTACCTACCTTGGCAAAGCTATATTTATATTAAAACCCAAAGACAAATCATAACGAGAAGAGGTGTTGAAATGCATACTTAGATTAGGTGACTGAATCTCCCAGCCAACAGCTCGTACATTATAGGGGTCAGAAAAAAGTTTCTCCTGCTCTTTGCCCGTGCTCTGTGTTTCTGCAGGTTGGCTGTGGGACAGACAAGGCTTCCCCAAGCTGGGGGTTTCAGGACATCAACTGCGAAATTCAGCAAGATGCTTGGTAAAGGCTGCTGTGGTGTAGCTTCCCCCCCGCCCCAGCTTTAATTTTCATACATCAGTGAGATCCTTCATCTGAATTATTTTAGGAAGTCTGAAGGGTGTTTGCAAGTTTTGTACGTTGGTCTCAAGCAGAGCCAAGGGCTGCCAACACCAGGTTGCCTGGCTCCAGCTCTGGTTTAGCTGCTTCCGCTTTGTTAAAACATACTCTCGGGTAACAGTTTGTGACTGGGTAAAGCATTATGCAAAGATGCGGTGCCTCATTAGCACACACCCCCCCTTTTTTTTTTTTCAAAATATGGCCCTTCTGGAGCAGTATTAGTGAATAGCAAAAGGTAGACTGGTATTTCCATAGACACACAGCACTCCCTTGCAAACCGCCTGCAGTGCACAAGTGGTTACTGTTGTATGGGGGTGAAGGAGCCAAAACCCAAAGACCGTTTTTTCTGTCCTGGTTTTCAAGTATATTTATTGGTGTAATTCAATAGGAGACAGTATCATGGTCGAGTGAGATGTGGCTGTGCCTCTTATTTGTCCCCTTGTAAAGTGTTTCCAGCTTTTCAGCTGGAGCACAAGAAGTGGGATGCTATGAGAAGTGAGTCTAAGGGAGGGAATTTGGCACGAAGCCGTGGCTTTCACCGGGCATTTTGTTGCTGCTCTCTCCCTAGGAACGTTTGTATCTGCTTTCACCGTGCTGTGCGGAGCCCGGACCGACCTCCCCGACAGGCACATGTGTTGCGTCTTCTGGCTGAACATTGCTGCTGCTCTGATTCAGATCCTGACAGCGATCGTGATGGTTGGCTGGATTATGAGTATATTTTGGGGGATGGACATGGTCATTCTCGCAAGTAAGTACAGCGCACTCCCCCCACACACACCTCAACTTTTCCCCTCTGTGGCCGTGTTGCTGGGTCCCAGCTAATGCCCCTGCAGGCCATTGGACTGTGCTGTAGGGATGAAGAGCCACAGGATAGGCTCTGCAAGTCCATGAGAAACAGAGTAGGCAGAGGAATTGCTGGGAGGCGGTTGGGATGTGCTCCATGATGCATCTGGAAGAGTCTCCCATCCCACCACACGGGTTAGGAACTTCCTTTCCCCTTTATAAAATGAGAAGTGCAGGAAGGGGTGAGGCCCCGCAGCACTGTGACTTCTGCTGTCTGGAGCCCCTTCTGCCCCAGCAGCGTCCGCGTGCGCGTTTGAACGAGAAGACCCTTTCTCCCTCACAACTTCGGCTGCATTTCTCTGTTTAGCAAGACCTACCCGTGAGGCCGGTTCTGCTCCCAGGAAGCATGCGAGGCCCGCTGTCCCCAGAAAAGCCCTGGGGACTCTCCTAGACCCCCCCCTTCCTCCCCAGAATCTGTTTACCCAAAGGCTTTTTTTTCATGTTTCACACCAAGTTCTGAGGCTGAACAGGACTATTTAGCTATTCCTAGAAGGATTTCCCCTACACCCTTTAAGGACCCTCCAAAACATTAGTCCAGGGGAAGAAGAGAGGAATCCTTTTTTAAACATATATATATATATAATTGAGATCACTCAGTTAGTGAACTATGTATTACTGATCTAGAATACAAGCTCTGAAACTTTATCTGCTAAAGACTTTTACTGATGCAAAGCGATACTTCATTTTGCATGTGTAGCACATCACAGAGAATAAAGGTGACAGCCTCACCTTGCAACTCACGCTGCTGATTGCGTCTGCAAGACCCCACTCCCTTTCCAGGGGCTGGGAGAGGCTGGCGGGCATGGCCCCAAACCAAACAGGTCTGAGATCCTTCAGGCTGGCAGGGCAGGCAGTTCCCAAAGCGAGCGTTTCTCCTGAAGAACATCTTACCAGCAGCTTTTGCCTCTTGGTTTGAAGGGGCTCCACTTTGTCATCTGTGGCTGCATGACAGAGGAGGAGAGAGGATCTCAGGAAATTGCCAGGCACCCACCTAAAGATTAGATGGATGAAACTGAAAAAAAAAAAAAAACCAGCAGGAAACCAGTGCATGTCTTCAGCTGCCTAACCCAGGGGTTAAACCCTCTCACCAAACCACCTGCTTATTTCTGAGTCACCTTCAATTTACAGGCTGAGTTAAGGGCAATCCCCACACAGAGCAAACGATGGATATTAAAAACCTGAACAGAAGTGAAGCAGAAGGGTCTCCTCAGGGCCAAGGCAGCACTGCCCTTTGTTTTTCCCTGCAAACCACCTGCCAAAGTTTCCTCTCGGATGTACCCACAGAGCAGAGGTAGCCCAAGTTATTTCTGAGGATAAATTGTGAGTTGGTGTACATCTGTGATGTGTCTTTAAGAACCTGCCCAATTTGTGTGTAATCCCATAATTACATGTTCATAATCATATGCTCTTCTGCTATTCCTCTGCTGGACAGCCTCTGGGTGCAGCTTGCTGGCTGGCAGGACCCAGTTCTGCAGTCGTGGGGGGAGGCAGGAAAGCATCTTCTGTCCAGATAAAGAGCTACAGCTGAAGCCGTGACTTGCTTTTCTCCATAGTCCTGTTCGTGTATGTCCTCTGGGTAGAGGGGCTAGGTCTCAGGAAGGTCTTACTGCTTTTCCAGTTTGGTTGCTGGGGAAAACCATACAGCTTGGAAGTATCGCCCTGAAGCTGTTCCCCGCACCTGACTGGGCCCCACCGGTTTGGGAGGCAGAGGGTGGGTGAGCAGCATGTGGTGGGGATGCTCAGGCCAAGAGGTCCCCGACCACAGCACCAGTATTTCATCCCGGCCCCTCTGGTAGCAGCAGAGAAGGGTAAGAGGAGTCAACGTGTCTTATGTTAACCAGCTATGTGTCATCTGACAAGTTGTAGCCCTTGGCAGTTTCTTGCTGTCTCATTAAATAGCTGGGGTTTAAGTTTACTTACCATGCAGAGAAAATAATGGCTAAATAAAGCAGCTCTTGTTGATGGAGAATAAAAGAAAAAAACCTCATTTTTCAATCAAAACAAAGACAGAAGTGATCAATTGCTCCCAGCTGGATCAAACAGCCCTGTCATACCCAAAGTGGTTTGTTTTTTCGTGTTAAAAAAAAAACCCAAACAACCCCAAACAGTTTGCTTTGGTAGGGTTTTGTTTGTGTGCAAACAATTTGATGCACCAGTCAGAAATGGTACACCATTGCAACTTGAATCTGCATGCAGGTGGGAAATAGTTAAAAAAAAAAATTGAAACTACTGTCCGCCTCTAGTCTTCCTCGCCTTGAAATGGCCGATTCCATGCGTCCCTGCAAGGGTGCTGTGCAATTTTGATGGGCTAAAGGCAGGGCACAGTGGGTGGTGTCTACGCTGATGGGGGGCAGCAGTGAGGAGAAAGGTGGGGAATCCGCTCCTGCTTTCCCTGCGGGATGAGTGCCTCCTCCCTGGATCAGGGCCTGCCTGGCCATTAGCTGGTATGGAGCTGGGTGGGAGCTGGGGAGGCTCGTTGGAGTTTTTCATCTCCTAGTGCCAATTCTTAGCCATTAAAAAGGGGAGCCTGCTCTGAGGGGAGAGCATGGGGATAATGTCTTTTGTGAGGGGAAAAGGAGAAGAATTGCAGGCCAATCAGGTATACTTCAGTTCCTGAAAGAAGTGATCAAACTAGTGACTTGCATACATTAGAAAATGAAACAAAGTCAACCTGGGTTTGCCCAGAGCAAGCTGTGTCAGACCAGCTTGATTTCCTCTGTGGCAGAGACATTTATTTTGTGAGTGGCGGCAGTGGTCGGCCATCCCTCCTGGCTGTTCTCTAAACGCGTTTTCCTGAACTGGAAAGATATAAGGAGAGATGTGTTGAAAAGTCCCTCCTGAATCCAGCTCCCTTCAGTATTTTCATTCATGGCTTGATGATGGATCGGAGAAGGGACTTACCAGCCCCACACCTCTGGCAGCTGCAAGGATGGCAGGCACAGCGAGGGCAGTGTCCGGAATTGAGCAAATTGAAGAAATAGTCTTAAAAAAATGCTACTTGGTAGAGAGACAAGTCCAAGACAGTAAGGAGGCATTAATCAGCTGCATAAATACAAGCTAGGGAACAACTTGTTTCTCAGAAAAGGATGTGGTGGCTGCAGGGAGTCACGAGCTGCCCAGGAGTACGTGGCTGTGGAGGGAACAAACACTGCCCGGGCGGGTAGGAGCAGAGCCAGTGGGACACTGACAGGTCCCCTCACCTTTCTCGGCACACATAAAGCTGCAGCAAGGCTTGTGGCCAGCTTTGGAGGCTGTACTTCATGTGGGCAACCTGGAGGGAGTCCAGAGGACTGTGACGGGGCAGGCAATGAAGAGGTTCAATGGGCTAGTAAACGTGAGAGGACAGCAGTTTAGCCTAAGATGGACTTAAATAACAGCAGGAAAGATCTGTGTGGAAATTAGGAGACGGTTTCCCTCCAGTAAGATCAAAATGCTGAAGGGGTGGCATGGCAGGATCTGCCCTCTCTGTCACTGGAAGACCCCAAGAGCGGGTAGACCTATGTCTGTCAGGAGCGAGGTTGGACACGGGAAGAGACCTGCTGACCTTGGTGGGTCCTGTCCAGCCCTCATCTCCTGTAAGGTGCCCTTTAGCAGGATATATCCCAGAAGGAAGATTAATTGAATGCAGTTTTGCTGTCACACTTAATTACTTTTGGCAGCACAATGGCATGGGGCATTTTCTCTGCTAATTTAAATGAATTGCCAGCTGGCCCCATTAAACGCCATGGATATCTTCTTTAAGCAGCCATATGGCTTTGGGAGCCATCCTTCGCTTCACCTGCTCTCCGAAAGCAAAGGCAGATTAAAAGGAAACACTTAATTCTGTTGCAAAAATAATAATCTGGACTCTCCCCTTGCAGCTGCAAATACCCAGCCGCCCTTGGCGGTGGCAGGGCAGCGCTGCCGCACCGTGCTCTCCTCGAACCCCTCGTCACGGCTGCGGGGATGAGGCACGGAGCTGAGGCAAACCAGAGCTAATTAGCTGGCCAAGACCAACTGGAAAATGAGCCTCCTAAGGCTTTCCGGGCAAGTGTCCGTCTGCTAAAGGCACACCTTGTCCCCAGCCCACGCAGCACACGTCTTCGTTAGTTCCATCGTGCAGAATGATCGCAGAGAAACGGCCTTTCCAGGAATTCCCTAGCTGCTCAGAGCTCGTTATAAAAGGTTTTGTGCCATTTCTTGACAGAAATACCACAGAAATCAATATAATAATGTCACACTGAGGTGGCACAGGGGACAGAAGTCAAGGACCGTTTGTCCATGCGTTGTGTGAACACAGCCAAGAAGTTAAGCCTGGTTTCCGAAGGAAGCCCTCGCTCGTCTTCTGGCCTCTGAATTAACGACTGCGCCTATGAACGAGTGAAGGCACCGCCGCTTGTGGTTTCACAGGACGGGGACTCCTGCTGCAGCCCCTGCTTCTGCAGTGGGCAGCGGACTCTCAGGGACTGATTGCCAGCCAGTAGTAAGAAATTACCTGTAATCATGCTGTCCGCTTCTCACTCCTCTGCTAATTACAGCGCTCAGACCTTGCCAGAAGCAGCAGCAGATGATTGCACGGTTACTGTACGCTCGGGCTCCAAGGGAGTTTGGAAAGCAACACCGAGCCTCTGTTCTCTGCAGGGCCCCTGCTAGGGCAGGTGATGCAGCTGCCCTGGGAAGGAAAGGGAGCGGAAAGAGCTTGAGAGACTCAGAAGAGAACAACATCCTAAAACAGCTGGTAACCCTTCACGAGATGAAGGAAATTCTGAGGATAAATTGCCCACTTAGACCTATTATGTTTTTTTTTTTTAAAAAAAAATCTAAATAGAGCCAGTCCCCAAATTATTCTGAGAAAAGTAGTTAAAAATGCCCTTTTTTTGCAGTTTCCTACCAAATGCCGCAGTAGGGTAAGTTCTTAAAATATCCTAGGAATGTTAAATATCACCAGGGTTTGCAGCACCACGAGGCACGCCGCGGTTGCGAGTTGTCTGTGGGCACAAACTCAGCAGCAAAACTGCCAAAAAGCCGAAAAGCCGTCAGGTGTAGTTTTCCCAGCTCCCGGGCCGCAGATGGCATGGCACACGCCATCCGGTACACCGTGACGTCTTGTTTGCTGCCTTTCTTCAGCGGTTCCCCTTGGGTCAAACCCATGAAGCAGCAACATCACAGAGGAAAGCGTTTGTGGGAGCATCGCTCAGAGGCGTTGGTCCGTCCAGCCTGTCCGGCTCGCGGCCGGTGAGCTGGAAAACAGATGAGGATTCCCCCGGCCCCTTTAAACAAGAGCCCCAAATGAAATGATCCACTTCAAGTACAAGGAATTTCAATAATGTTTAGCCCTGGTGTGAATGTCTGATGGTAGAGCAGCTGTTCTCTGTTTACTCTGCAGCCCCAATTTATTCGTTCTTTTCTGGTTCTCCATGTGTTTCGGATATATCGTCTACAGTTACATTTCTCCCTCTCTCTTTCTTTCATGTTCCTTTGCCTCCTTTTGTTCACCATCAAAGTCTCACAAGGTAAGTTTGTTTCTGTTCTTCCTCCTCCTCCACCTCACACCCCGTGGCAGCTCCCCACGGAGAGCAGCGAGCGCTCGGCTGGGACAAGCCGTTTGGGATTCGCTTTGGCCGATGCTGCCCGCTCCCAGCCCCAGTCCAGCCATATGCCTGTATGTGCGTGTGTCCGCCTGTCTCTGTGTCTGTCCTGTGGCCGCACAGCCCCTGGGGACGTGTTCTCCACCCGGCATTGCAATGCCCCAAGGGCACCCCCAGAGCAAGGCAGGGACCCATCTCAGCCTCGAGAGCCGCCCGCTGCATGAACCCCGTCCCAGTAGGACAGCCTGTGCACAGACTGGTTTGGTTTTGCCTCAGTCTTACTTGCAATGGTTTACAGAAGTGATTTTGTGCTCAGAATACTCAGGTCGACTTAATCTTGATCCCAGAGCTGTCTGCTTTACAGAACCACACTGTAACTGTATCGCAAGCGTACTAATGTAAAGCTGCTTCCTACAGAATAGCTATTCTGATGCAAGCAATGCAATAACTATTTTCATATATGAACTCTTTAATAAGTTAAGTCTGAAGTATTTTAATAAATAAGTTTAGCATAGGACAGGTCATCTTTTGGCTTACTGAGGTCATGTAAAGAGAGATACAGGCTCGGCCACTGTAACTGGCTTCCAGCCAGCGTCAAAACTCATAGCAGGACTGAAAGGATTTCTATTATATCTTAATAAAAGGCATGGCTACGCAAGCAAGTTACTGTAAGCATAACCTAGCTTGCTTACTTTAACTAAGGATTTATGGCATGCCCCAACTCTCTGGTCCATCTGGTTGATGGGATTTTTTTTTTCTTTTTACTGTGCTCCCTAAACAAATTAAACCGATGCTGTAGACAAGCCCATATTACAAGTTTCCAACCAGCTCATCTTGCCTTCAGAGCTGACTCACACTTAGAACATAAATGCGTAAGAAATCATCATTTTTTGCCCCTAGAAAAAGCTGTTCGAAAGATGTGAAAGTCTTTCTGTTCAGCTGCATACAATGGGCAGCAATGCGGTGCAGGGTAATATGTGCGGATAAGTGTCATTAATCTCCTTCTCTATTCCTTGTGCTTGTTTAGCAGCAGGAGATCCAGACTGCCAAGGCTGGGTGAATGCGTGGATTTTTCCAAAGTACAGCAAAGTTCATTTGCTGGGGCCAATTCTTAGTTCAACAAAAAGTCCTTTAAAGACAGGGGTTGTGGCACCTGCTGGTATTTTGTGTTCGGCTTTTTTAAGGGACTTACTTACAAAAGCCTGCCATAAGGGTTGGAAAGAAATATTTAAAAGCATCAATGGAAAAGTGTTTGAAGAGTTAAGCATTCTTCTGAGATGTGAAACCTCAGACTCATTTAAAATTCAAAATATAAAAATGACAGGCTACTTACATTATTTACACAAAGAACAAAACCCTCCAGATACAGGCTCGGCTCGGTTTCTAGTTGAAAGATCTTCACTAGCGCTGGCAGTGCAGGTAAGGACAGTTTGTTTGCTGCTTTAAAAGGGAGATCTGTTGCATCGATACTATCGTAATAACAATCGCAGCTTCTCTTAAAAAGAAAGCAGGTAAAACGTCTGGTGCAGTCTTTGCAACCACTGAGGAAAATATAAAAAAAAACCCATTATTTTTCTGGTTTCTTGGGTGTCAGCACAAGAGCTGCGGGTGCGCTGCGGGTGCTCTCCCACTACCCTTCCCTGCCCTACCCGCCCCGGGGGGGTAAGGAGCCCTCCCCTGTGGGATTTGCAGCCTCCCCACAACCACTGTGTACAGGATAGCAAATAAATTGGGGCCCCAATCCTCCGAGGAGCTGTGACGAGCAGCAGGACGGGCTGCTTTAGCCCTTGCGGCATCCATTTTTCTCCAGTCCCACTGGACGGCTGCTGTGCCCCGACAAAAGCACCTGTAATTCTGCTGGTCTGGAGCAAAGCAAGTGCGTAACAAGGCAGTGAGAATCTCATTAGGGAAAGGGCCCATGGGGGGCATCCCGAGGTCTGCGTTTGAACTCCGACACATCAGCCTGTGGTTAAAGTCATCCCCCTTCTCCTCCAAGAGATGTTTGTTCACCTCTGCAAACCGCAGTGCAGATTGGTCGCTGCTGGAGAGCTCTGTTAGCAAAAGCCAGCGTGGGAACTAAAAGGTGGACAGAGGAAACCAACTTCCTCCTTCCCGGCAGTCCTCCGAAGGACGAGGCTCAGACGCAGATCACTTTTTTTTTTGCGAGTGTGTTGAAAGCACAACCAGCAAGCTGCCAGATCAGCGCTTGGGAACAGCGGTGTCTCTGGAGCAGTATGTAAAAGCATACGGCTCCCCTACACTCCAGGAAAAAACATGATCCAATACAGAATAATTTAGGCAGAAAATACAGCATTTCCGTAAAGGTGGAATTGCTGGCCGCTGGTACCTACTGTGCCTTATAACCTCTTCAAGCAGAGGTACCTCTGCCCAAACCGGG